GAGTGAGTGAGTGAGTGAGTGAGAGTGTGTGTGAGTGAGTGAGTGAGTGAGTGAGTGAGTGAGTGAGTGAGTGTGCGTGTGTGTGTGTGTGAGTGTGTGTGAGTGAGTGTGTGTGTGTGCGCGCGCATCGGGGCGGAACTCCGCTGTGTGTGATACAGAGAGCGCGACCATAACGTAGAGACCGAAATGACATGCCATCGTGTAAATATGATAAATAACATAAGGCTATTTAGTTTGTTTAATAAAAGAACAAGGTATATACCTGTTCTATCTGAACGGTAACTTTAAATTACTTCTGTTGTGATCTGACGCTATAGAGAAAATATTATTAAATAAAATTAACTTGACCTTCAAGGGGGGCAGGGGGTGCCGTTGGGGGGCCGGGCCGGGCCGAATATAATGGCAGGGGAAACACTGGAGTTCTCCTGTGTTCACTGGAAAGGGAACAATAAGGGACCATCCCCTTTTTCATGTAAAATCTTTATCAGATCCTATCACTGTTATAATTTCTATACATCCAGGGTTTTTTCACTGAAGAACATGAATATGAAGTGGTGATACTTGGATCATCTGCACCAGTGTGTTTCTCATGCACTGCTCTCACATGAATCACTTGCAGTCAGGGGACCCGCTGAAAATGTGTTGACATTCTCACTTCTGGTTGAACCATTACAGTTCATCTGGCCTAGAGATGATACAATATATTATTAGAAAACTTTAGCATTAAGACAAGCTCATGCTGATTTCATAAATATTCAGTATACATTTTACATTCTTGAGCATATAAAGGTTATAATCTTACAGCAGGGTCTCTATATTTAAATGCAAAATAAATATTTAATTGAATATTTCATCTCAGGTTAAAGACAAATGAGAACCAGATTTTTATTTACATCAAATCTAGAGCAACACATCTGGAAATATGACACTTTATTCCTTTAATTAATATGAACTCACCATTTATCCCTTTGTAGATTAAAAGCATGATTAATAAGACTGCAACTGCAAATACAACAGCAACTGCAATTAATCCTTCCAGCAAATAATGGTGTCTAGATTCTAGACTTCCATCTGCAGGAAAAAAAAAATAAAAAAAATAAAACCAAACACAAATGTTTTAACCATTTTATAAATTCATGCAACAAATAAATACTATGATTTAAAGGGGTCATATGATGCGATTTCAAGTTTTCCTTTCTCTTTGGAGTGTTACAAGCTCTTGGTGCATAAAGAAGATCTGTAAAGTTGCAAATCTGACTGAGCTGCCAGCTGCAGTACGAATCTACAACAATTTTGCACACAATATTAACTTCTGACTGGTAATATGGTCATATTTACCCCATGATGTTGTATATGTCCGATTGCTTTGCAGGACACGACACTCATAACCCCGTTTCTCATCTCTGTGTATCTTCACACTGGTTCTTATTTGAAAGGTTTGATCATCATTAGGTCTGACTTCACTAGAGCTGAAGGGTTGGAGTGTGATGTTGTTTAGTGTGATGTTCATCTCTATGAGTTTGGGGTAGAAGCCAGTGGCCAGACAGGTCAGAATCTGCTTGCTTTGGTCTCGAGGAGCTACAGATGCAAACATGTGAAGAACTGGAGAAGCTGCAATATGAAGCAAGAATAAATCATACTGATTAAATCATAAAACACAAGTAAAAAAAAAAAAAGTTAGTTCTAGTTAGAGCAATGCATACCTCTGACTGAATCATTAAATGTGGAGATCCAGTTCATGCAGTTCTTGAGGACCATCTGCAGGACTTGTCTGCGAACTCGTTGATTGTTCCACTTCATTCTGGTTTCTTTTGCCTTTGGAGTTTTCTCAATCCACTGCATTGTGGCAGAATTAAAAGCAATAAACTGCTCTCCATCATATCCGTACTCATCAAATGCATTCACATGAATCACTGATCCATCTGGACATTTCTCCACCTCACAGCCAACTCTCCTCTGTAGTGTATGGAGGCCTAAACATTTAAATAATAATAATAAAAAAACAACATAAGAAATTGTTACAAGTTAAAAGAATATATACAGTGGCCCACAGGCATGTGCAGAGGGGGGTGCAGTGGGTGCTTGAGCATTTTATTTTATTTTATATTTTAAACGCCATTTTGTGAAGGCCTGCCCAATCTAACTATTAGTAAAATTAATTTAATAATAATTTAGCCGTAAATAAAATTATCCACATGATGATGACTACCTTTCACCTGACAATCTCATCTGGGACTATCCCTCACGTTCAGACACCTTTAGTTTAATGTAGCGCACTACCAAGATGCCTTCATAACGTCCGCGGCTGCCGGTAAGTGGAGTTCTCAGCGGAGCGGTGTGCTTGTATACTTATATTATTAAAATATTATTATTATAGAAGAACGGCGTGAAGAGAGCATGCACAGTTGTTGTTTATATCGCTGTTTGTAGCCTGTGGAAGTAAGGTTAGCTGCAACAAGGGGCTATAATATTTTGGTTCAATATTTTCCTAATGACAATTTTATGATCGGTTTATAAAGACTGCTATGAGGAAATATATTTTATACTTTCTATAGGCTACTAAATGATGTCAATCAGTACTGCATTATTCATATAGTTTATTTATTACACATAAACCGTATATATTCGCAATCGTGTGTTTGTCTTCACGTTTTTTCAGCTTTTTATTCAGCTCAGCTACAGCCATAGCCGGATGCTTTTGATTTCCTGTAGGTCATAAGTCATTCCTTCTATGAGTCTGTTTTGGACTTTCTGTAGGAGAGCGCCCTCCGGCGTCGAGTATGAATGAAACATACACTGCATGAGAGTGTTGAGCGCTCCAGATAGTCACTTCTCCTCATTTTGGATACGAATTAAACGGCAGGTCATGCATAGACTATCGATACTGTCTCTTTGAATTTAAATCTAGAAACCAATACATGAAAACATGTGAGAGTGTCTTAAAATAATTATCACAACACTGATAAAACAAGCTTATACTGATTTTCTCATCTTCCGATTTATACTTATCAATCCTGTTTTTATTATCATTATCATTCAAAAAATTAATACATTCAGAACAGGATTAGAATATAATTCTATTTTCAATTTTAAACTCAATAATAATAATAATAGGCCTAATAGGCTATAATTCCGTTTCTAATTCCAGAGTGATTAAGAGGTGCAAAGAAACATTTCTTTAACTTTTAAACTTAAAATGGTTTCTTTTTGAAAACTGCATCACGGCATTTTCTGCTATCAATACAGAAGCATCCGTTTCGATACATGTCTCAGCAAGGAGCACAGCCCTATTAAAAGCCGTGCTCCATGTGCCCCTTTTATACTTCGAGCACCTGCCCCTCCAAAGGTCTCTGCACGGCCCTGGTGGCCCATAAAAGTAACTGGACACTTAAAAAGATATCAATGTCATTCCAATAAAACCCAATGCATTCACCATCACATATGGAGTTTGTGCAGTTTGCCAGAGCGTTAACCTGATGTAGAAACCAGTCTCTAGGGTCACGAGGTTCTTTGGTATTTCTCCAGATTTCTGCATCCAAACAGTCTCTTTTCCAGGTTTGTTCTTCATTGCTGTAGCGAGAGATCCGTCTGTCCTCACACACACCCACTGCACTGAACACAGGGCCGGAGAACCCATCAGGTTTGGTGAGCGCGGTGTAAAAATAGAGGAGATGGTGTCTCGCTGAGGAAAAATTATAACAAAACAAGAAGGATGTTACTGTCAAAGTGAACACTAGAGTTAAGTCTAAACTATCAGTCTAAAGTCACTGAGGATGAATGAAACTAACATGTGTGGGTTCCTTCTTTTGAGTTCAGCAGAAGAAAAAATGTGGGTTTGAAACAATTTGAGGGTGAATTAATGATGAGAGACTTTTCCCTTGCTTTAAGTCTGAACTTTTGATGATTGTGCAATTGAGTTGGCCAATGAAATCGGCTGCCAGAGCAAGTTTGCACTTATCAGGGAGACATGGACACGTCATCAACCAGGATTATGAATATCCAGTGGTAAAGCAGACTAGTGAGCATGTTCTACTACTACATTTTGCAGTAATTACCAGGGAAAGAGAGGAGTTGTCAAAGAAAATGGTTAAAATTCTTTAACCAATTTCAATCTAGCAAATTTAATAAATTGGGACTTAGAGAAATACTTCTCTCCAAATAATGGGATTGGAAAATAGAATTTAAATATCACATATTGCATAAATAACTATTGTTAACAATAATAGCAACTTTTAACAGTTTATATCACAGACTTTGTGTTCAAGTCTTCCCTTTTTTCCACAAAACCTTTGCTCTCTAGAAACCTTGTCAGTTTCGGTTGAAATTATTTGAAGTTCAACTGTTAGCATTATAAACACGGAGTTAATACAACATATTATGAAATTAAATTAATGACAGAAAAATTAGGAATGTTGGACAATAAATATATAACACAGGAATATAACAGCTTGACAGTAAACTGTTTTTGCTGTATTGTCATATTAATGTCTGTTAAAGGAAGACTAAACAAAAAACTTTGTATAAAAAAAAAAAACCGCGTACAGCCACTTTCTGCAAAATTATTTAATTATGACAGAGACACAGCAATGCATCATGTTCTAATCTAGATCATGTTTGTAGTGTGTTCCAGGGATTAAAAGGTACAATATAGACCTAGTGGAGTAATAGCAGCCTAACTAATAATAGTAATAGTAAATGTATAAAGTTGCATAAGCTCATTCTAACTTAGTGTCATATCCATATAAATCATTATTATGGTTTCTATGTAGAGATGCAGCCACTGATCGATCGGCCGATTTTCCTCCTGATCGGCCCGGATCGGTGATCGGCCGGTCAGTCTCACTTCTTTCCGATTCCGAGCCGATCCGTTGTGTTACCAGCGGCACAGGCAATAACATCAGCCGTGCATTCTCACTCTCATCTCTCCGATGACCCCTTCTCTCTCACACACGTCTCATTCGCTCCGGTTAAATAGTGCTTGTATTGCGCATTATTTTAGTCATTCCCGCAGCTTTCGCATTTACAACAAAAGCGCGTGCGCACCAGAACTGATCAATATTAGTGGAGCGCACAAGTCTCAGTCTCAAACAGCTTGTAAGCCACGAATACCAAAACGAGTGGCTAACTGAGCTAAAATGGTGAAATACATACAAAATTGTCAAAATCATAGACTGTATAAAAACATGGACGTAGTGTCCTTGACGTCACCCATAGGCTTCCGAAGAGCATTTTTGAAGCTCGAAGTGGGCGGAGCCGGCCGTCGCCATCTTGGCAGCACGTCACGGTACGTCACTCCCGGATAATCGAAATTGGGCAAAGAGGCGGGAGCTGGTTGCTGAAACCACGCCCACCTAGCTCAACGGTGGTGACGGCACCTGTCACTCAAGTGGTCACGCCCTTAATTATGCAGAACTTTAAGTCTTAATATAATTTAAACGGATGAGTTATAAAAAAAATTCACCCCCCTCACAGTTGTCATGAAGGGCAAAATTAGCTATATTGACCAAAATATTTTTTTGAACCGGGCTGTAAACATATTTTTTTCTTCTGTAAATTTGTGCATTTTAAAGGGTTTATATGATGCTGCTAA